CTACTTTGATTGAAAGATTACATAAAAAAATAATTTAATTCTTGATTTCTCAATACTGATATCGAGACTTTCAGATTTCTCTTCTTCAAAAAAATGAATTATTTTTTTATTATTATTATTTTAATTTTTTACTATTATTAAATAATTTACAATATTATTTAATAAAATTGAATGATAGATTAAAAAGAAAAAAAATTATTAAACTAAATTGAAACATGTGACGTACCAGCATTGAATCGTAAACATTTTAAGTGATGAACATCTGTTGTGGATTTAGACTTTGTGATAAAAAAGAACTTTTATTTTTAATGTTTCTTTAAAAAAATCAGGAACAGAAAAGTCACATTTTAACAAAAAAAAATTGTTTCGTGGATTCACAATTGAAATGAAACGATTCTTTCTTGACTTTCATTTTTACACTGATAGAAGAATATATTTGGTGGGACTAAATAAATTTATTAAAATTATTTTTCAGCATTTATTTGATACATATAAAGATTTATTTGTAGGTAATAAATCTTCTTTGCTTAGCTGTCAAATATTATTATATTTATGAAACCATAAAAAATTCACACAAAATTGAATGGTTATAATGTAATTGCTCGTCGAGCTATTGGTTAAAAGAAAATATTAATTTTAATCATTACGAAAGCGTTATCTTTTATTTAAAAATTTCCAATAAATAAAAAGTATTTCATAATGTAACCTAACATTTGATTATGCTTTACCATCATTCTACCTTACCATCGAGCCCAATCATAGTATTTAGATGAGAAATAAATATTTGTTGGCAGCTAAGAAATCATTCATTGAGCCAAATAAATCTACTCTAATAAATAATTTCTTAACTGTTAACAAATGTTCATTCGATTTCTTTTTCAAATAACATATTTATTAGCTGCTAATAAATTATGTTAGATAGGAAGAAATACTTCGATCAGTGTTTTTGTAATTTAATAAATAAACGCATTTTATTGTTTGCGATTACTTCATTTGTTTAAAGTACAATAGAATGATTCCATGAATTCAAAAAGATTAAATACGTCTCCATATAACGTGAAATTCCCGCCCGAGTAATATTATTATAAGGGGAAGTGGTAACATTTAAATTTTGCAATACGGTTGATACTATAAAAAAACTACACTCTAGGTAAAATATCACAATGATTTTGATATATGTCACATACGCAATTTCCCTTTCACAATGTGTCCCATTTTTCATAGCTGAAATCTCTTTGAGTAGTAAAAAATTGTTCTCTTTCCACCACGTAGTCTTTTAAAACGATCTATAAGATTCATGAAGCAATAAAAAATAAGGGAAATATCATGCAATAAATCTTTAGTTGATTTACTTCACGAATCCAATTTATGATTCAATTTAATCGAAACATTATTATAACTTTAATGATATTAATTATTATTAAAAGTTGAGGCGTGAAAGTTTTACGTAAATTACAAAATGCAGCTAATTAACCTTTTTTATGTTATTGATTCTTCACAAAAAAATGGCCAGACTGATTTCGCCAAAAACCTAATCAGTTTGAAGTTAAGTAATTGCGAATGCAATTGGTCGGAGATGATCGAGACGAAAAATAATCCCGAACGTACATACATACGTGTACACATATACATCCACTTAAAAACTGTTGTATTCGACTCTGGGGACTTTGAAATGTGGAGATATCCGAATAGAATTTATTTTTTGGGAAAAAGTCCTAAATTTCCTAAATTCAAGTTAGGCGCCGAATGGGATACCACATTATGCCCACATTGGGAATGTAACGCTTGTCCCTATTGGAACCAAGTGAGGAAAGCCTAATTAAGGCAAGTTAAATATAAAAACTAAGTTTTGTTTGATTATCTCATTTTTCATGATTTTTTATTGTCGAAATACTATTCATTGAACGTATTTTAATTAAATTACCGCGGAAATGTTCCTTAGGGGATTCAAACCTACGATTGCTAGCTTGCTCGCATCTGAGACCCGTTTTCTTTACCAGCTCAGCTATTCATTCAATGAAAAAAATTATTACTATTATATTAATATGAACGAATCCACATGTATAATTTTTTTAAAGATTTATGTAAATCATTATTTATTTTAAATCTCCATAATAAATAATGTTAATGGTTTAAATATTTTCATACGTTTAAAGGAAAAAGAATATCCGAAAATATTTTTATTATTACAATACTTTGTTTTTGGAATTTAAAGAAAATACTTAATTTAATAAAAATCTCATATTGTTACAAATGTATGTTGAATTTATCCTCACAACTTACGACTTGCAAAACCGGACCTATTATAATAACACCCCACGGTGAAGCTACAAATTTCTATTTGTAAACTTGATACAAATTTTAACACACTTAGAAATTGTACAAAACAATCAAGACTTCTATACTTTGTGTATGGTACTTAACATTGAACACGTTTATGCGTACTCATTTTTAACACACTTTAATTTACAGTTACATAACTTTTCCAATTTCATAACATTTGCGAAAAAACAATGTTTATCGCTATTATATCCTTAAAATATCATTAATACCTCTAGACAATGACGACTTTAAAAAATTTTCTCTCTACATGAGTTTAATTTTCAAGATAAAAAAAAAAAAAATAAGATTAAAGGGGGTTTCATTCTATATAAGCACTGAAAACAAAATAAAAATGATGATAATAAATGATAGAACTTAATCAAATGTAATAATAAAAGATGTTCAACATTCAGACTTGACTGAAAAATTTAATAAATTGGTAATAATAATACTTCCCGTCTGCTCTTAACAAATGTAAATATCATCAACATGCATTTATAATTAATCATGATTCCAATCACTTCCAGCAATATGCACAATTTATGCAATAAAAACAAGAAAGGGTCCAGAAGGGTTTAATGAAACTTATCACATAGCTTTTATAAATTATACGACGATGCCCTGGTAAAACGAACCGATAAAATCCAATAGATACCCATAGACAATTTATAAGAATGAATAAAAAAGTATTGGGTCTATCGGAAGAGCAGAAAACGACTTATAAACTTTTTATAAGTATGAATCAGAATTTATAGGAGTTAAAAAATTATTTTTTCAATGTATAAGAAATTATAAGAATGAATGAGAGATATGCAATAAGATTTAATAAGAAGTTATAAGAAAATAATAATTAGAATTTCTGCTTCAATTAATGAAGAATTATAATCGCAAACGCTATCAGAATTTATGAGAACTTATCGGCAAATAATATCCAAAAATTTATCGCACGAGTTTATAAGAATCTGTAAGAGCAATTTTTGTTAGAATTTATAAGAACCTATTAGTAATAGGTACTTTAAATATTATAAACTAGCTATATAAGAATCTATAAGAGCAACCATTGTAAGAATTTACAAGAACTTATTGGAAAATAGTATTTAGATATTCATCACTTAGGTTTGTAAGAATCTATAAGTGGAGATGGCATCAGAACTTATAAGAATGTATTTGTAAAAAATGTACTGCGTCATCTCCTTCGGATTTATATGAATCTATGAGAGTAATTTTCGTTAGAATTTATAAGAACTTATTATAATTTATAAAACCTTATTATAAAGTCGTCAGTATTTGCTAATAAATTCTAATAGAAAACGATAAAGTACTCCTTATAGATTATTGTAAATGTATAAGAATTAATCGGAAAATTGCATGAGAAATATGACGATTTTTATAAGAATTTATAAGAAAATGTCTTATGGATACTTATAAAATGTGCACTATTTCTCATGCAATTTTCCGATTCATTCTTTTAAGTTATTTTTTTATAAGTTTTTATCGAAATGTTTAACCAGGGTGGTTTTGTGGCTGGCGTTTGTGCCTCTGTACTTAACATTTACAAGTAATGCTATTAGAGTTGTCACTCTTGCTTTATTATTATCACTAAGTGGACTTGTTTAACTGGGATGCCTGTTTTTTCCCAAGATATACATAGTTTTAATGAAACCAGAAAAAAATACCAAAGAGTTGGCAATGACACAACATAGAAGCTCATGTTTACCAACATCAGCAGTGCCAATGCTTGTTTTTAATGGTAATCACTTTAAATTTATTTGAAGTATCAAAAAATAAATTAGAAAGGTTTGTAATTATTTTCTTGTTTAACTTAATTTTTTTAAAATTACGATACAATCTCCACTCTCTGGCTGCTAGAGTCTAACTTCTAAACTTTACCATATAGAGAGTTGCCCTTGTCATCGTTAGACAAAATTTTGATGGATTAATGAGGGTATCAAGGATACAAATTTCTTTGTAGATGAGTTTAATGATAAAAATAATTAAGATATTTTAGTATAGAACTAGGTAACGTGGGCTGTTGTTAGCAAAATATTATTCCCATCAAAGCAGTGTATTGAATTTCTTCAGATTTTAAAGGAATACCCTCCACAACCCATAGCTCGTCGAGTTCAGGATTCAATAATCGTGGAGGGGGACGAGAAATCTTTAGTAAATGACGGTTTTCAATAAAACAACATATTATTCAAACAAACAAAATAGTTATTATACGAAAACAGACATTACAATGACATTTGCAAAAATACTGAACAGATACGGAATTTAAGTACAAGTAAAACGGATGGAAGTGGAAATAGAAAATGATCAGTCGGTTAGTTAGTCGCAAAAGTGAAGAAACCGGATAACAACCTCCGTCTCTCGGAAACCCCAACTAGAAGAAAGCCGTCTAAAAGACAACTTATGGATTACGATAAAAAGATGTCTAAATGCTATTTGATATTTTTATAGTCTTCCTACAGACATTCAAGAAGATGTCCATCTTTGCGTAAAACTTTGGTCAAATGACATCCAAAAGAAAGTCAAAACATTGTCTAGATCTCCTAAAGACATTATTTTATTTTTCTAAAAATTACTTCCTATTGATATCTTTCTAATGACTTTTGGAAAAACTAATTCTTAATTTCTAAAAAACATTATATAGGCATAAAAAATTGTTTCTCTTCTAGTTGGGAACAAGTACTTTTATTCTCAAAGGAGGCATAGACTTAAAAACCGTACCCCATGCCAGCATTAGAGAAAATAAAAGACACCCAGTGTCCACAGTGAAATCTCGTATGTCTTCCTCTCTTAATTTTTAACAAGTAAAAACTTGCTAAGCTCTGCTCTAGTAGAACGCAAAACGAACCTATTTGAGATTGAATCCCTTTCAACAATTCTATATTTGAAACGGGAATGGATTATTTTTCTAGGATAGATTTAATATCTAAATCATAAGTTAATTTTAATGTTAATGATTTTATAAAGATTAAACACATAACTAATGCATTATACCTGGAACCAATCTCTAGTATTTTTCTACCCATGTACTAGAAATTACTTTCATTGGCCTCAAAAAAATGAATTTTACTATTCTTGGTCCACAGGTGAAGCTATTAAATCTAATACTTATTCAAATAGACCATTACAAAAATCATCAAAATCTAATTATACTTATACAAATCGTTGTGAGTTATAAAAAAAATTTGATCATTAAGTTAATTGTTTTTTTTTCTAATTAATATATGGATATAGTACATATCATTATAATGCCTTTTTTTACTATCAAACATGAATTCTTTTGCAGGTAAATCACAATTTTTGCTAAAAGATGAAAACATAGAACTAGAAAATACTCTCATAAAAAACAATGGAAAATTAGAAACAAACACAACTTAAAGCTCCAGGAGTAAAAACCTTAATATACTTTTTATTCAAATTATAAAAAAAAAAAACCAAATGTTACATAAATTTTCATTTATATAAATACTAGCAATATCCAATAACCATAGTGAGTTTACAAGGAATTTCCAATGGATTTCATAGCATAGATAATATTTAATTACATGGAAAAATTTACTAAACTTGTAAAATATGAAGCTAATTGAAATGATTGAAATTTCAAAACTTGATGACAAAACTGGAGTCTATTAAAAAATTTTCAACGCCAGAATTTATAAAAAATCTACAATAATACAATAACACATATCGCTAATTAAAAGTTATTAGTAATGATAAAGTTTGAAACATACTACTACTTATTAAACTCAATATACACGTATATAAAATAAGTACAATTTATTTATAATCTTATTGAATACTGGAAAAATGTACATTTAATTATGAATAATATACAATAGTTTTCATGCAAGCTGTGTAATAATTTTAAAATAATCGGTTATTAATTCCTTTTCTGTGATGAATAATACAACTGTTAGTATGTATCATTTATTCAATTTTTAAAATCAGAATTTCATGTAAATTTGCTCTCTTATTCGGAACGTAAAACATTAACTAATTATCAATGATTTTCACTGATTTAGTTCAAGAGGATCCATGAATTACTAGAGGCATCCAACACGCTACCAGGTGGCGTATGGTGTCATTTCATTAGATTTCACCACTAGGAGGCGCATAAGAGCTAGGTATCTAGCCAGCCAGAAATGTTTTCAATCATATGAGATTTGATTCTCGACTTGTGCACATCGTGTTATTTTTCGCTCATTTCTTTTGTGAAAATATAAGTGCTATTGAGTTTTTATGCTTTAACTGCATAAATTAATCGTAAAAACGATCATTAAAGAATAAGTGGGTGTTTGTGATTAAAATTAGTTAATTTTTACAGTTAAGGTGAAGTAAATGAACAAGGTCATACCAAAGTTCCAAAAAGATAAAAAATCCTATTTTCATGGCTGGAGTTCCTGGAGTAAAACCAGTACAAGATTTATCGAAAGTTGTGAAAATTCAAAGAAAAGTTCAGGAATTATGCAAATGGAAGGGAAATGGTTTTCCTGGTTCTCAACCTGTCTCTATGGACCACAATAACATTATCCAATTTAAAATCAGACCATACAAAGTGTCATGGAATGCTAATGGTACTAGATTTATGATGTTCATCCAAGCTAACAAGGATGTATTCTTTATTAATAGGAATAATAGTGTCTATGAAGTGTCTGGTTTAACTTTTCCACATTATAAAGACTTTTCTAGAACTCTGAATGATACTTTATTAGATGGAGAAATGGTTATTGATAAAGTGGATGGTAAAAATTATCCTAGGTACCTAGTTCATGATATTATTATGTGTGATGGCAGAGATGTATCTACAGACTTATTTTTCATTGAGAGATATGACATCATCGAGAAAGAAGTAATAGGAAGCCGAATTAGAGCATTAAAGGAAAGCCGAATACACCGAGATCAAGAACCCTTTTCTATTCGTCAGAAGCAATTTTGGGACATCACACAAGTCAACAAGTTATTGAGTGAAAAATTCGTTAAACAATTGGGTCATGAACCAGACGGTTTGATCTTCCAGCCTCCGAAGGAGCCCTACATCCCTGGACCTGCAGCAATCGTCTTGAAGTGGAAGCCGCTATCATCAAATTCAGTGGATTTCATGCTAAGAATCTTCGTCGAATCAGGTATGGGAACATCACCTAAGAAAATAGGTCATTTATATGTTGAGGGTTTAGAAGAACCATTTGGTTTTATTAAAATTACTAAACAAATTCAACAGTTTGATAATAAAATAATAGAATGCACATATAATAATGGAACTTGGTTATTTATGCGGGAAAGAACAGATAAATTTTTCCCTAATTCTTTCATTACTGTCCAATCCGTTTTAAATAGTATAATTAGACCCATTACTTCCCAACATTTAATACATTACATTGATAAAAATCAATTTAATGAGGATTGGGAAGATTGCATGCCACCCGCGAAACGTCGTAGATAATTTTTTTTCAGTAGTAGATTTTCTTCAAGTTGTTAGTTTTTGCATAAATTAGTAAAGTAAAGTAGAGGTTTGTTTTCTATTTTATAAAAGTGATCGATGATTAGAAAAGTGTGTATGGTGAATTCTTACCTACACACGATTATGAGATCTTATAAAAAAAAAAAATTTTTTTTTGGTTGTTATTATAGTTTTTTCCCTTTTCATTAGATTATGAATATTACTAATAAATAAATAGATAATTCCAAATTTATCAAGGCATCAATTATTTCATATTTAGACATCATTTGCTTCAATTTAATGTCCAATACTTCATTTCTTATAAATTACTAGAAAAATAGTAAACATTTATGCATGAGCACTTCTAATCTACTCCAAAATTAGTTTTATTTGTAAATTAATATCGATGTATCTTCTTATATACTAAAATTTATGTTATATATTTAAATTCACTAAGATGATTTTAAATTTATGTTTTGAAAGTTGTTCAAAAATTTGCCAATTTTTTACAGCTATATAAAAAAATCATTAAAATGACCTTGTTGATTTTGTAATTTACATCTTCTTAGATAGATATAAATTTTTAAAATTACTACATTGAGTTTTGCGACGGGATAAATTATACTATTAAAAATATCTTTTTTACAAAAAGTATTCTGATTTATTCGATATTAAGTTGGTAATAAAAGAAAAGATAATTCCATTTAAATTTGTTCTCATTACTTTCTTAAAATCAGTCTACCATGTGAAAGCATAAAGCATTTTTATTTTTATAAAAACTTACTACGTGAAAATAGTGGAAAACTATAATAATCTGTCATATGCACTTGTAACACTTGAATGTATATGTTTCATTCTTTCCAAGTTTCATTTTAAATGCAAATATGAGAATATCTTACATCATGTATATTTTACTTGTCAAATAATATTTATTTTGTTACAGAAATTTTCAAAATATCAGTGCTCTGCAGTGGTCTGGGTGCGACCCGAATGGTCCACACGACCAACTTACCAGTGGAAAAAATGAAAAAACACTTCCAATAGAATTCGTTTCCACTCTTTGTAACAAATGAAATTGTTATAAACGAGATAAGTGTGTTTCTATCCATTAGTGTGTTTTTATTCAACAATTTCATTGTTATAAATAAAAAAAGTATGTTTTTATTTATGTCGTACGGTTGGTAACATTTTTTTAGTAAAAAAAAAATCATGCGTTAAAAGTACTCATATATATATAGAATAGATCCCTATTTTTATTGTTTATAGTAATTTAAAACTTATTATTTAAATATTACCATGATCAATAATCATTTGTTAGTAACAATGTTCAATTGTTATGGACACAATTCCATATGATTGACAATTATTATTGACTATTATAGCGTCTTTAATGCTGTTTTCTCAATCCCGACACAAGTTTAAAATTCTTTCATTGCTGATTTTGTTTTTTAAAATTTGTTTTTTCCGATGAAATGTTGTCATCATATTTTCATACAAGTATTTTAATCATTTAATATTCATATTTTTGCAAAGAATTTAAAATTTTGTCTAAAAAATAGTATAATTCATAAATTGCAAAATTCAGGACGTTTTCCATTTTTTGATTCTGCATAAAAAACTACTGGACCGATTTTGTTGAAAACCTAATCAGTTCTAAGTTGCGCAATTACGTGTCGAACGCAGTTGGTTCCACGACGATATCATCTTTTGTTCTCGAGATAATCGAGGCGAAAAATAATTCCGAACGCACATACGTACATACACATACACAGACGGACACTGAAGAACGGCCATATTCGACTCTGGGGACCTTAAAACGTAGATATATATCAAAATTCGGGATTCGCCAAATCGTACCCATTACTATAACTTCCTTGAGAATAGTGAAAAATTTCCGAAATATTAAATTCAAAAAAAAAAAAAGATACATTGAAATAAATGAACTTGAGGAAATTATTGTACCAACTTTTGAATATTATTTCTCATTATAGAGAGGAGTGTCATTACCAAGCAACATACTCTGAGGACTAGAATTTATATTTGTTGTGTCGCTGGGTGATCTTCCTCAATAAGAATTTCGATTATCCGATCGACTTCTTTCATTTCCGTATCTTTAAGGTCTTCTTGGATCATTATATATCGGACTATTATATCTAAAATTGAAGAAAAATGGTGTGAGATTAATTACTTTACATGGTAATACATATGAAAATTGATAAAGTAGATTATTTCTTCAATATTCTCGTTCTGTAAAATATCTTCAATTACTGAATTAACTTTAAAATGCATAGCAAGTAATGTCATGAATTAACTTACGGGTCTTTTGGAGTAGTCGAATTTCCAGTAGGCTAATCACTATTGCCAGAATTCTCCCAATTATTAGACGAAGCTGTATCACCCGTAGGCCAAGCATCATCAATATTCGAATCAGTTGTATTTCTTGTAGGCCAAGAGTTATCGGCGTTCGAATACGTAGCACTGCTTGTCGGCCAAGCATCACCAGCCGAGTTATTCCAATCTCTTTTATTCTGCATATTGCCACGTTCTCAACTACGTCCCTTGACTTGTTCTCTGCCGCGTCCACTGAAATTTGATGATCGACCACGACCACGACCCCTATCTCGATCACGATCACGATAATGGCTATCAGATGTACTGCTTGTAGACCATGTATCATCAATAGAATTTTTCCAATGATTAAAAGTAGTTGTATGACTTGTAGATTAAGCATCATCGGCAGGTTTCTTCCAGTCATTTGAACTAGCCAAATCACCTGCAGGCCAATTATTATCTGTAGAACTCTGCCAATCTCTTGGCATGTTTGAGTTATCTGTAGGCCAAGCATTATTAGCCGAGTTATTCCAACCTCTTTTATTCTGCATATTGCCACGTCCTCTGCCAGGACTTCTGGGATTTGATGCTCATCCATGACCACGAAATTCCTTTTGGTACCTAGAATTATTGTCAGAACCATATGGAGTATGCGGTGAAGCCCTAAATGGTGTCATGTATGGAGTTTGAGCTGAAGAAGTGTAGCGAGTATTTGAATTTGAGGTTGTATTGTCATATTTAAGAGCTCCCGATACTCCTGGTGTGTCAGGAGGATAATAATAAGAATGTTTTTGATCCATACTCTGAATTATATTTGAGTTTATATCTTCCATTTCAGATTGTTAAATTTTGGGAGTCTGGATCGGAATTGGATCTCGAAAATGTTCTTTAAACCATTTTATCAAGCTGTCAAAACGAGTAAATATTTGTCCACGATATTTAAATCCTTCTGGCACCACCGAAATATATTCATGTAAACATTCAAGTCGAAGAAGATAGGAAAGGAGAAACTTTCCTGGATAATCTTTTGCTGCAGAAAAGATATACGGGATTCCTTCAAGATTTTGTTTCTTTTCTTCATTTAAAAGCTCTTCAGCTCTATCTTTTATCCCATTCACACCGGTTTTATAATATTTGTAGTCAAGCAACTAGCAGACATGAGCAGCCATGGGATTCACGTATCTCGCGATAACTTCATCCGGGTCTTCAAACTCTTTATTACCGATCCATAAGCTTTGACCTGAAGAAAAAGCATTTGCGTTGCCTTCTTCTCTTACATCAATGTGTTGATGAATACCTTCAGTTAATTTCCATGTAACAGTAAGGTGGTCTGAACCTTTACTACTAGGTTTTATGATTACTTCTCTGAGTTTCATAGTTTTCATGCGTTTTTCTGCTTCTCCAAAACTAATATTATAGAAAGAAGGATGTAGAATAACACGTTTTACATAAATCTGCCTTTGATTAATTTTCTTAATTTCTTCTTCTTGTTTAATATCTTTCTGTTCCTCTTCTGTATCATTAAATGAATCTTTAGTAGGTCTGGAATAAAAAAGTAATTATCAATTCAATTGTATTGAAATATTATAATTATCATAAATATTATTTAAAAAATAAAAATGTACCTCCATTTATGTTCTTTATCAGCAAGATCACTGCTTTTACCAGTTCATTCAACACTAAATCGTTCAACATCAATTTTAATAATACGACAATGAATACTTTGACCGACTGTAACTCTTTCTTCAGGATTTTTTACATGTTTATCAGACAAATTTTTTATATGGATGTATCCGGAAACTCCATTATCTAAACCGAGTCTAATACCAGTAGCTTCGCCAGGACAAGTTCCAGCATCAAAATGATTCCAGACTTCAGACAATTCAGGAAAATCTTTTTTCAAACAAAATGGACATTGCCATAGTCCAGACTCATCAATTTTTACGGGATGAGCTTGATCCAATTGTTCTCTATCTGGTGTTCGATGATAGTTGATGCTAATACCTTCGGCTAAAATTAATTTTCCAATATAGAAAGTTTCTGCACTTTCTTTTGTCAAAATATCAAACAATTTTTCTGAAGAAGGAATTTCGTAAATAGTTCTAAGTTCTTTATAGCGTTCAGTTAACTCAGCTCTGATATCATATAATGTAATAGATTTATTACCAAAGCCTTGTCTCTCTAATTCCTGAGCAACTGCATCTAAAACCAAGTCATTTACTTTTTCTGGAGTTTCTGAAATCTCTTTTAAAGCTCCAGCAGGATTGCCATCTTCATCATCATATTCTAAAGCGTCTACAGCCATCTTTCTAGCCCATTCATATGTTTCAGGATGAACTCTCGAGCCATCTAGCACTTCAACATAAACTTCAGTACTATCTCCGAGACTGTTGGTGTCAATCTTGATAAACCCTTTTTCATGTTCGCTAAAGCTGTTCTTCTTTTTTAATAAGTGAGGTAACTTCAAAGTATCAATGCATTCTCTATCAGGAGCAATGATGCACGTAAATGCTGCTTGAGTATAGTCTGAAACATATGAAATCGCCATCACACGGATACCTTTACTAGTATTCCATTCTGCGTCCACTTCCTCAGGAAACTCGACTGAAAACGGAGCTATTTTAATCCAATCAAACATTTTACTACAACATATTTGCATCACATACTCTTTAACTTCAGCAATAAGACTAGATTTCAATTCTTTCTTCAAATTTGGAATAATCATTTTGTTTAACGCTATTTCTAGACTTGCAATTCTTAAATTATTCCAGTCTTGTACATTTTTGCTGAATTCGTCCCTAATATATAACTGTTTTATCTCCTCAATGTAATTGTTGCTAGTATGTCCTTCGATTACATCACTTGATATTATTGTGATTTATTTATCCTCTTCAGCCATGGCCAGTTTAAGAAACTGATCTTGTTGAAATTCACGAATTGGTTTATCCTTCAAACATTTCATAGTATAAATAGAATGATTATCATCAATTTCTTTTATTCCTTTCTTTGTAGGTTTTACTGATAATTTTGCTCGTACCATGTACATTTCTCTCATATATTTTCTCACAAGAGGTTCACGAGCTAATTGCATAGCTATCGTTTGCTGAACTGCTTTTAAGATTTCTTCTGGAGTTTTTAATTGTTTTCCAATAAAACTTTAAGTCAACGTGAGAGGATCAATAGGCTGTTGATCTACTTCGTGTCGCTGATAATGATCACGAAGATTTTTAGCAAAATCCTCAGGAGTTAAACCAAATTTCTTGGCAAAGGAATGTAAACCAGCTTTTCTACAAATAGAAAAGAATTAGTTTAGACAAAAAGCAATTTTAATTCGCTCTGGACAATGCAAATTTCAATTGTTATTAATTAAATTAATATTTATTAAATAATAATTATCAGTGTTAACAAGAACGATTAAATACTTTTGGTTGTGAATGACGATATTAATTAATGTTTACTAACAAATTGAGAATTTTTCTAAAATTCATCTTAAATTCAACTCGATAAAAAAAATTTCCAAAGACAAATCTTATTATTTTTTATCTTCCATTATCAGTAAATTTATGCACATATTTTCCACAATTCTAATTGTAAATAATATATTAAAAAAAGTGTGATTTTTCAAGTAACATAAAAAGATATTTTGTTATTTTATATTACAAAATATTATAAATTCTAGTATATAAGAAGATACATCGATATTAATTTACAAATAAAACTAATTTTGGAGTAGATTAGAAGTGCTCATGCATAAATGTTTACTATTTTTCTAGTAATTTATAAGAAATGAAGTATTGGACATTAAATTGAAGCAAATGATGTCTAAATATGAAATAATTGATGCCTTGATAAATTTGGAATTATCTATTTATTTATTAGTAATATTCATAATCTAATGAAAAGGGAAAAAACTATAATAACAACCAAAAAAAAATTTTTTTTTATAAGATCTCATAATTGTGTGTAGGTAAGAATTCACCATACACACTTTTCTAATCATCGATCACTTTTATAAAATAGAAAACAAACCTCTACTTTACTTTACTAATTTATGCAAAAACTAACAACTTGAAGAAAATCTACTACTGAAAAAAAATTATCTACGACGTTTCGCGGGTGGCATGCAATCTTCCCAATCCTCATTAAATTGATTTTTATCAATGTAATGTATTAAATGTTGGGAAGTAATGGGTCTAATTATACTATTTAAAACGGATTGGACAGTAATGAAAGAATTAGGGAAAAATTTATCTGTTCTTTCCCGCATAAATAACCAAGTTCCATTATTATATGTGCATTCTATTATTTTATTATCAAACTGTTGAATTTGTTTAGTAATTTTAATAAAACCAAATGGTTCTTCTAAACCCTCAACATATAAATGACCTATTTTCTTAGGTGATGTTCCCATACCTGATTCGACGAAGATTCTTAGCATGAAATCCACTGAATTTGATGATAGCGGCTTCCACTTCAAGACGATTGCTGCAGGTCCAGGGATGTAGGGCTCCTTCGAAGGCTGGAAGATCAAACCGTCTGGTTCATGACCCAATTGTTTAACGAATTTTTCACTCAATAACTTGTTGACTTGTGTGATGTCCCAAAATTGCTTCTGACGAATAGAAAAGGGTTCTTGATCTCGGTGTATTCGGCTTTCCTTTAATGCTCTAATTCGGCTTCCTATTACTTCTTTCTCGATGATGTCATATCTCTCAATGAAAAATAAGTCTGTAGATACATCTCTGCCATCACACATAATAATATCATGAACTAGGTACCTAGGATAATTTTTACCATCCACTTTATCAATAACCATTTCTCCATCTAATAAAGTATCATTCAGAGTTCTAGAAAAGTCTTTATAATGTGGAAAAGTTAAACCAGACACTTCATAGACACTATTATTCCTATTAATAAAGAATACATCCTTGTTAGCTTGGATGAACATCATAAATCTAGTACCATTAGCATTCCATGACACTTTGTATGGTCTGATTTTAAATTGGATAATGTTATTGTGGTCCATAGAGACAGGTTGAGAACCAGGAAAACCATTTCCCTTCCATTTGCATAATTCCTGAACTTTTCTTTGAATTTTCACAACTTTCGATAAATCTTGTACTGGTTTTACTCCAGGAACTCCAGCCATGAAAATAGGATTTTTTATCTTTTTGGAACTTTGGTATGACATTGTTCATTTACTTCACCTTAACTGTAAAAATTAACTAATTTTAATCACAAACACCCACTTATTCTTTAATGATCGTTTTTGACGATTAATTTATGCAGTTAAAGCATAAAAACTCAATAGCACTTGTATTTTCACAAAAGAAATGAGCGAAAAATAACACGATGTGCACAAGTCGAGAATCAAATCTCATATGATTGAAAACATTTCTGGCTGGCTAGATACCTAGCTCTTATGCGCCTCCTAGTGGTGAAATCTAATGAAATGACACCATACGCCACCTGGTAGCGTGTTGGATGCCTCTAGTAATTCATGGATCCTCTTGAACTAAATCAGTGAAAATCATTGATAATTAGTTAATGTTTTACGTTCCGAATAAGAGAGCAAATTTACATGAAATTCTGATTTTAAAAATTGAATAAATGATACATACTAACAGTTGTATTATTCATCACAGAAAAGGAATTAATAACCGATTATTTTAAAATTATTACACAGCTTGCATGAAAACTATTGTATATTATTCATAATTAAATGTACATTTTTCCAGTATTCAATAAGATTATAAATAAATTGTACTTATTTTATATACGTGTATATTGAGTTTAATAAGTAGTAGTATGTTTCAAACTTTATCATTACTAATAACTTTTAATTAGCGATATGTGTTATTGTATTATTGTAGATTTTTTATAAATTCTGGCGTTGAAAATTTTTTAATAGACTCCAGTTTTGTCATCAAGTTTTGAAATTTCAATCATTTCAATTAGCTTCATATTTTACAAGTTTAGTAAATTTTTCCATGTAATTAAATATTATCTATGCTATGAAATCCATTGGAAATTCCTTGTAAACTCACTATGGTTATTGGATATTGCTAGTATTTATATAAATGAAAATTTATGTAACATTTGGTTTTTTTTTTTTATAATTTGAATAAAAAGTATATTAAGGTTTTTACTCCTGGAGCTTTAAGTTGTGTTTGTTTCTAATTTTCCATTGTTTTTTATGAGAGTATTTTCTAGTTCTATGTTTTCATCTTTTAGCAAAAATTGTGATTTACCTGCAAAAGAATTCATGTTTGATAGTAAAAAAAGGCATTATAATGATATGTACTATATCCATATATTAATTAGAAAAAAAAACAATTAACTTAATGATCAAATTTTTTTTATAACTCACAACGATTTGTATAAGTATAATTAGATTTTGATGATTTTTGTAATGGTCTATTTGAATAAGTATTAGATTTAATAGCTTCACCTGTGGACCAAGAATAGTAAAATTCATTTTTTTGAGGCCAATGAAAGTAATTTCTAGTACATGGGTAGAAAAATACTAGAGATTGGTTCCAGGTATAATGCATTAGTTATGTGTTTAATCTTTATAAAATCATTAACATTAAAATTAACTTATGATTTAGATATTAAATCTATCCTAGAAAAATAATCCATTCCCGTTTCAAATATAGAATTGTTGAAAGGGATTCAATCTCAAATAGGTTCGTTTTGCGTTCTACTAGAGCAGAGCTTAGCAAGTTTTTACTTGTTAAAAATTAAGAGAGGAAGACATACGAGATTTCACTGTGGACACTGGGTGTCTTTTATTTTCTCTAATGCTGGCATGGGGTACGGTTTTTAAGTCTATGCCTCCTTTGAGAATAAAAGTACTTGTTCCCAACTAGAAGAGAAACAATTTTTTATGCCTATATAATGTTTTTTAGAAATTAAGAATTAGTTTTTCCAAAAGTCATTAGAAAGATATCAATAGGAAGTAATTTTTAGAAAAATAAAATAATGTCTTTAGGAGATCTAGACAATGTTTTGACTTTCTTTTGGATGTCATTTGACCAAAGTTTTACGCAAAGATGGACATCTTCTTGAATGTCTGTAGGAAGACTATAAAAATATCAAATAGCATTTAGACATCTTTTTATCGTAATCCATAAGTTGTCTTTTAGACGGCTTTCTTCTAGTTGGGGTTTCCGAGAGACGGAGGTTGTTATCCGGTTTCTTCACTTTTGCGACTAACTAACCGACTGATCATTTTCTATTTCCACTTCCATCCGTTTTACTTGTACTTAAATTCCGTATCTGTTCAGTATTTTTGCAAATGTCATTGTAATGTCTGTTTTCGTATAATAACTATTTTGTTTGTTTGAATAATATGTTGTTTTATTGAAAACCGTCATTTACTAAAGATTTCTCGTCCCCCTCCACGATTATTGAATCCTGAACTCGACGAGCTATGGGTTGTGGAGGGTATTCCTTTAAAATCTGAAGAAATTCAATACACTGCTTTGATGGGAATAATATTTTGCTAACAACAGCCCACGTTACCTAGTTCTATACTAAAATATCTTAATTATTTTTATCATTAAACTCATCTACAAAGAAATTTGTATCCTTGATACCCTCATTAATCCATCAAAATTTTGTCTAACGATGACAAGGGCAACTCTCTATATGGTAAAGTTTAGAAGTTAGACTCTAGCAGCCAGAGAGTGGAGATTGTATCGTAATTTTAAAAAAATTAAGTTAAACAAGAAAATAATTACAAACCTTTCTAATTTATTTTTTGATACTTCAAATAAATTTAAAGTGATTACCATTAAAAACAAGCATTGGCACTGCTGATGTTGGTAAACATGAGCTTCTATGTTGTGTCATTGCCAACTCTTTGGTATTTTTTTCTGGTTTCATTAAAACTATGTATATCTTGGGAAAAAACAGGCATCCCAGTTAAACAAGTCCACTTAGTGATAATAATAAAGCAAGAGTGACAACTCTAATAGCATTACTTGTAAATGTTAAGTACAGAGGCACAAACGCCAGCCACAAAACCACCCTGGTTAAACATTTCGATAAAAACTTATAAAAAAATAACTTAAAAGAATGAATCGGAAAATTGCATGAGAAATAGTGCACATTTTATAAGTATCCATAAGACATTTTCTTATAAATTCTTATAAAAATCGTCATATTTCTCATGCAATTTTCCGATTAATTCTTATACATTTACAATAATCTATAAGGAGTACTTTATCGTTTTCTATTAGAATTTATTAGCAAATACTGACGACTTTATAATAAGGTTTTATAAATTATAATAAGTTCTTATAAATTCTAACGAAAATTACTCTCATAGATTCATATAAATCCGAAGGAGATGACGCAGTACATTTTTTACAAATACATTCTTATAAGTTCTGATGCCATCTCCACTTATAGATTCTTACAAACCTAAGTGATGAATATCTAAATACTATTTTCCAATAAGTTCTTATAAATTCTTACAATGGTTGCTCTTATAGATTCTTATATAGCTAGTTCATAATATTTAAAGTACCTATTACTAATAGGTTCTTATAAATTCTAACAAAAATTGCTCTTATAGATTCTTACAAACCTGAGTGATGAATATCTAAATACTATTTTCCAATAAGTTCTTGTAAATTCTTACAATGGTTGCTCTTATAGATTCTTATATAGCTAGTTTATAATATTTAAAGTACCTATTACTAATAGGTTCTTATAAATTCTAACAAAAATTACTCTCATAGATTCATATAAATCTGAAGGAGATGACGCAGTACATTTTTTACAAATACATTCTTATAAGTTCTGATGCCATCTCCACTTATAGATTCTTACAAACCTAAGTGATGAATATCTAAATACTATTTTCCAATAAGTTCTTGTAAATTCTTACAATGGTTGCTCTTATAGATTCTTATATAGCTAGTTTATAATATTTAAAGTACCTATTACTAATAGGTTCTTATAAATTCTAACAAAAATTGCTCTTACAGATTCTTATAAACTCGTGCGATAAATTTTTGGATATTATTTGCCGATAAGTTCTCATAAATTCTGATAGCGTTTGCGATTATAATTCTTCATTAATTGAAGCAGAAATTCTAATTATTATTTTCTTATAACTTCTTATTAAATCTTATTGCATATCTCTCATTCATTCTTATAATTTCTTATACATTGAAAAAATAATTTTTTAACTCCTATAAATTCTGATTCATACTTATAAAAAGTTTATAAGTCGTTTTCTGCTCTTCCGATAGACCCAATACTTTTTTATTCATTCTTATAAATTGTCTATGGGTATCTATTGGATTTTATCGGTTCGTTTTACCAGGGCATCGTCGTATAATTTATAAAAGCTATGTGATAAGTTTCATTAAACCCTTCTGGACCCTTTCTTGTTTTTATTGCATAAATTGTGCATATTGCTGAAAGTGATTGGAATCATGATTAATTATAAATGCATGTTGATGATATTTACATTTGTTAAGAGCAGACGGAAAGTATTATTATTACTAATTTATTAAATTTTTCAGTCAAGTCTGAATGTTGAACATCTTTTATTATTATATTTGATTAAGTTCTATCATTTATTACCATCATTTTTATTTTGTTTTCAGTGTTTTCCCTCAACTTTTAATAATAATTATTATCATTGTAGTTATAATAATGTTTTGATTAAATTGCATCATAAATTGGATTCGTGAAGTTAATCAATTAAAGATTTACTGCATGATATTTCCCTTATTTTTTATTGCTTCATGAATCTTATTGATCGTTTTAAAAGACTACGTGGTGGAAAGAGAACAATTTTTTACTACTCAAAGAGAGTTCAGCTATGAAAAATGGGACACATTGTGAAAGGGAAATTGCGTATGTGACATATATCACAATCATTGTGGTATTTTACCTAGAGTGTAGTTTTTTTATAGTATCAACCGTATTGCAAAATTTAAATGTTACCACTTCCCCTTATAATAATATTACTCGGGCGGGAATTTCACGTTATATGGAGACGTATTTAATCTTTTTGAATTCATGGAATCATTCTATTGTACTTTAAACAAATGAAGTAATCGCAAACAATAAAATGCTTTTATTTTTCATTTTTTATGTATATTTTATTTATTAAATTACAAAAACACTTATAGAAGTATTTCTTTCTATCTAACATAATTTATTAGC